ACAAGGACAAACAGTTTAAAATTATTCAAAATTATTCTACGCTCTACATTCTTGTCGGCAACAAGAGAGAGAATCTCTCCTTGATTGATTCTCTCTCCTGTTGTCGACAAGAATGTAGAGCGTATAATAATTTTTAATAATTTTAAACATAGAAGCATAAATTAGAAGAAGATTAACTAGATGCATAAAAGCTATAATAGCATGTAAAAGAATAGTAAAAAAATAAATGGAAGAAGCCAGTAGATAAAACTAGACGATATTCACTAGGAAATGCGTAAATCTGACAGGCTCACCATCTGTAAGGAGTATTTTATTCTTATGTGAACTTTATAATGATTTTTTTGGAAATTATTTGTGAACTTTAATGAACTTGCATAATTTTATTAGCTGGTACATCGTTTTCAGTAAATGCGTTTTTTTTTTCTTATGGTGTATCCCTGGGTGCGTTTATAACAACAACATGCGTAATTTTGGGTACTATTTAAATCTTGAAACTTTTAAAAAACGATTTTAGGTCATAATAAGCCGGTTGAAACACAAGGACAATACAAAGGTCTCGTTGCTCATTATAGGCAGCGTCGGGGGTGGGTATGAATATGAATATTAAATGACAGTTTGACTCGACGAATCAATAGCAGCATAAATACAGCAGAATCAAAATTAAAGGTCAGTTATGACTAAAAAAGAGAAAACTTGAAATTATATAATAATCATTTTTACTTATGGTATCGTTTTATAAAAAAATGTGTCTAGGGGTAGAAAATTTAAGGATCTCCATGTGTTAGCCTTAAAAATATTATTTCTCATTGGCAATGTGTGACAATATTATCTGTATTTGTCTGAGGCATTATTAGAAAATTCTTGATTTTCGTTTCACAATATCCTTTTATCTGCTTATTAGATATAAAAATATATTTACAAATACCTGAATAAACAGCAAAAAGAACAGAGGTATGTAAACTGGCATACTTGCGTATTTGTATAGTACGCGCAATTTATGAATTAATACCAAATTACCGAAGGTTGTAAAAATTTATGAATTTATATTTATGATCTAGTAAAGATAAACATTATCATAGGAGAATAAATAAACACTGATGTAGTTAGTAGAAAAATCCTAATCTCATAATACATTTTAATGGTTCTAATTGCCGAATAATCTCTTAACGTGTCACTTTAATCTCGAATATCATAAAAAACGTCAAGCTACCGACATCCATATTATGTAAATCAAACATAATAAAATAAAACCGCTTATTTTTACTGCCCAGTTGTACAGAAAATCATTTCACAATGCCACAGTGGAATTATTAAAGGTTAAAATTTTTATTGGCTATTAAGTTTTTTAAACTTTATGAAGGGAAAATTGTTCTTCTACATAATATGATTTCGTACGGAGTATAGAGACACTGGACGATGCATCACAGTTTATCCGTAGTTATCAGATAGCAAAGAGTACTGTTATAGTCCGGGAAAACAAAGATTTTGAAAATAAATAAAAATATTTTTAATTAACTACCTTCTTCTATTCTGTATATCTCATCAGATTCATAGTGATTATGCATTTTGAGGTATTTGGTATTGCTCGTTTTACGCTGATTGTCCTTTTTTTGGATTACAGGTACTGAATTTTATGTATAGTAAGTAGATTTTAACTGTATAATTCAGTCGGGTTGGACAATATTTTTGAAAATATTCGTAGATTCTTTTCGTATCTGTTATTCAGATGATCCAGGTTTCGACGACATAATGAAATATTGGAAAAACAAATATCCGTACTAGATTGATCTTACTCTTTTGTTTTCGAATTTAAGTTTCCAGTTGCTTCCGATGTTTTGACGGTGCTACCTACTGTCGTTTGCTTTATCCACAATCATGATTTTTGTTTATTTTTATTAATTACTAGATTATGTTTCTCCAGGTATATTGGCAACCATGCAACTATATGAAAAGAACAGAAAGAACGAGATGAACAAGAGATAGATACTGTTACAATATTTTTTGTGGCTTTTTCATTGAATACAAATCAAAAATATAATTACCAACTCAATTTTCTGTCAACAGTGATTGTATATTTATGTCTTGGAAAGGTAATTTTGGTAAAATATCAAAGAGCCTTTCTAAATCTGTTGTTAATAACAATAATGTTACAAGAATTAATTGAATTTAATTATAATCCGATCTAAACTGCAAATCTCTTGTCAGTTTTTAGAGTAAATTATATATCGTGGTATGTCAACATCTTGAAAATTTGCATTAAAATTTAATTAAAAGAAAATGTCAAGTCCTTGTATGTTAATTTTACAGATATCATTACTGTTTTCTCTTTAATAACAATTTAAAATATTGTTAAATGATTTTTGTAACAAAATATATACCTAGACACCCTAATTGATCGCTTATTTATGGATGTACTTCCAAAATACTTAAACTAATCTTAAAAATATATTAACAGGAATTAGGAAACAGGAATTAACAGAAAAGAACAGGAAACAAAGGAATGAGCACTTAACAAATAATAAAAGGAACTTTCAAGCACTACAAATGGGGAGAAACGGAAAACAACGATTTACTAGGCGACAGGCAATTATAAATGTCAGTTACGCACATGAAATCAATGTTTCGAATAAAATTTGTATTAAATCGACAGTAAAAGTTCGATATCTTTTAAAGACAGTTTACATAAAACTGTTAACTGAACAGAAGTTGCACAATTTTTCTCATTTTTTACGATTGTCATGAGATCAAACAAAATTTATCACGTCTATTGACCGTTCACCAGAAATGTCCTTTGTTAGAACCAAATCTTCAAACTGTGGGGTGTATACAAACTTAACTGTAGCGATTGCCCAAAAACTTACATCGGTCAAACGAGTAGAACTTTTAATAAACGGATAGCAGCACATACAAGGGCTTTCAATAATAGAAAAACAGATTCTACATACGCACTTCACCTTCGAGTTAACTGACATTAAAAATAGTCGGTCGCTTCAAGCATTATTTTTGTGAGAACGGTTCATTCTGCGCAAAAAGTGCTATTTAACATTTAAGCTACATTTTTTGTTTGAAATATTTTTTTCTATGACGTACAGATTCTTGGTAAATCGATGTTTTTCCTTTTTTCCTCCTACAAGGGGGTTTTAGGGGAAAGCCGAGGGTAGGAGTGATAAACATTTTTGTACCTTTTTTATGGTCCCAAAATTGACATTCTCGGCAAAATTCAGCTTTTTCGTATGATTTTTAGAGATCAAATCTCTGAGGACTGGACCATAAACTAGTAAGATGAATTCCTTTGATTATAGAATTAAAAACAATCGAAAAGTACTTTGTTGACGGTTTTCTGTTCCACATTATTTTCTTCAATTTTAACTCAGACCATGTGTGGAAGAAAATGAATGAATTTTGTTCTATATGGTCATTTTTATATTGAAGCATCCCCGATTAGAACCCTTAACTAATATTATATTCTTTATTTTCAATTCTGCTGTATTCAAACATTTTTTCTCTGAGAAAACCGAATTTTCTTTCAAAATATCTATTATTTCACCTCTCCTGGTAGAATAAATATTTTGGTTCCGCCACTGTCGTTACAAATTAATCTAAACACGTCTTTGACATAACGGCGCAAGTTTTTCCAGAAAAGACACCGCTTGGTTCGAGAAAGTGATAGAAAAATGCTAATTCAATAAAACGACAATACAGGATATCCATAATAGTTAAACTGTATCAACGACCATATTAGGATCAATATCCTTAATGGTAGAAATAAATAGTTACTTAAAAACTAATTATATCGTTAATAGTGTGGACGTGAGAGTAATGCAGATAATAATTGTTTGTTTTAAAATTAAGATATTGATCAAGTTTGTAAAAAATAATAGCTTTTGTAGTGGTACTTTGCAATAATTTACCCATGGTAATGTAATATATTTCTATAGCACCAATATAGTCCAGGGAAATCAGATTTTTCTCGTGACACTGACCATTTTCAGGTAAAAAACCGTTGTTTTGAGTAGTATGGACCTATATAACAAGAACCTATGTTTCCAGCAGTAGATTTTTTGGACTTAATTAGGTATTAATAAATTAAGGTCAAAGAACAGTCATTTTTGCTTTTTTTTTCTTTATCAGTAAATTGTAAAGCATTTGAAACAAATTTGAGATCAAAAAAGTTATAAATCATATAAAAAACCTATCAAATGGCGTTTTTTTAATGTAATCTTTATTTGTTGCTTGGAAAATTGCAAAATAATGTCAAAAATTTCGATTATTTATAAATATTGTTTGGAAAATATGTATTATTTTGTTTCATATTTTTACATTTAATATTTTTCTGTTATGGTAGGTACTGTAATGTGAGCTAGTTTAATGCTGTATTCTAACGACCTTTTTAAAATATATTATTTCCTTTTATTTCGTAAAACTTAAACTGGCTATCTCATTTATGATGTAAGTACTTAGAATTTGGCTCTCTTTTGTATTCTGGGTCAAAAATATACACACAAGTGCAAGGTTTTGTATTACCGTGTCAATTAACTTTAAATTATCGCCATTTAAAATCGTCCGACAATAGGGTTGATTTATGGCATGCTCTTGCACATGAGCTGTTGACCACCTAACGGGCAGAGGGTGGTTTTTGTCCTAGTAACGATCTCAAGATACTCAAGACAAACACTTCAAGATAAGACAGTGAAAGAAACACAACGAGATCTCGTGCCATCGAGGCGGGCGTGAATCTTACGACATCAATATTTTCAGAGGAGAACAGTATTTATTCAACGTCTTTGAGGCAATTATCTCCACACTAGAATACAAACTGCAAAGGATAGAAAATTTAGACAAAGCCGTAGAACATCTAATGCGCAGAGTAGAAGGTTTGGACGATAGGGTTAACAATAATATAGACAAAACAGAGTCGGTTATAGCTAAGTTAAGAACGATAGATTCCAAATTGTTTCAAACTCCCAATACTGTTCGAAAAAAAATCTGATACGTTTCAGGAATCTGAAAATTTGGGTAAAAGATTGTTGGCTCTGGATGAGAAAGTTAGTGACATTGACGACAAACTTAGTGTGTTAAAAAATCAACTGGACAGCAATTCTCTAAAAGGTGAAGAAATTAATGCAGAAGCAAGCGAAAAGAGGTCTGTGAGTATGAATGTTATAGAGATTACCAAAACATTGAACACAGAAATGATAAACCATGTAACAAAAGAATTAGGGCAATTTAAAGATACTACAGGTGGTGTTGATAGAAAGCTGCAATTTCACATTAATTAAGTACAAGAAAATTTAGGAAAAATGTTAAATTTAGTGACAGATGTCCATCATACTATCATAGACGATAAGAAGGGATACAATACCTATTTTTACAATAGATCATACACCACAGCAAATATTAAGAACATTTTTAAAAATAAACTTCTTCATACTCCATGAAATATTAAATATATCAAGTAGTTTAAAAGTTATTTTATTTGTTTATGCATTTTTGGTTGCAAAAATATATCACAAAATAATGAAGTTACAGTAAGTCTACGGGTAGCTTATAAAAGAAGATTTATTTTCTCAATATGATTAAAAAATTGGAGAAATATTGCAAAATCATGTCAATTTTACTTCCATCCATCCATCCAATGGCACTACAGCCCAAATCGGGCCTTGGCCTCGTTTAACAAGCTTCTCCAATCATTTCGATCTACCGCTGTTTTTTTCCATGAACGCGTTCCCAGGCAGTTCCTGGCATCCTCATCGACTTCGTCTTCCCATATCAATATTTTACTCTTTCCGTCAATATTTTACTTATAAACTTAAAATCAGAATAACTTTTGAACTATTGCCTGGTGAAAAATTATTTTTTCATATTTGGAAAGCGTGAATCTTTCTCAAAATAAAAGAAAAGAAAAAGTTGTCCTAGGATAATTTGGGACGAAGTTACTTCCTTTTTTTTAAATTGACTCAAGCTTTTTTTATAATAATTAACATAATTAGCGTCATTTGAAGGAATATATTTTAAAGTTTTTATGTGCCAAATTCGAAAAATATTGGAATGGAGTTTTCATTTTTCTTCCAGCATTTTGGAGTGTTGTCAGTTATCTTTAATACTTTATTACTTTGCTCGGATAAATGAATTTTACATACACGATGTACAACAAATATTTCTCGCAGATTCCATTGCGGCTGCCAAATATTTAATTCAAATTAGATAAAAGAAAAATGTGTGCCTTCTAATCCCGACAATTTTATTATAAGAACAAAATAGATTTAAATCGCAACCTCCAACATCTGGACACCTTTCAAAACGACGAATTCGTCGAGTAATGATGAAGTGTTCAAACTTTTCGTCACTTTTCTAAAGTCTAGACTTCCCGTAGATTCTCAGATATCTGAAGAATAATCGTCTCCAAATGTTGGCAGCTTAACTGGGCATTTATTAATGTTTACAGGGAATCAAGACGAAAAATCAGCTCAGTGTCGTTCCGATAAAATTAATGTAGGCTTTTAAATTTATTATGTTTTGGTATTTTACCTACCAAAACCAAAAAAGACAAGTTACAGATAGAAATCCGTGTACTTGATGATATTTATTCTTGCAAAAGATTAGCTCTAAGTGTCAGGGTGAGAACAAGTTTATCCCTCTGTAAATTTTCTTATGGATTTTATAATGTTTTTAATTCGTGATGTTCTTTATTCGCTCATTGCTGCATATATTTTAATTTCTTAGTCATACATTGTAACTTCTTCATTTGTCATAATTTCTAATGTATCTGGTACTAGCCACTTGTTGTTTCTATGTATATAGCTTTCCATGTATTAAGACAGTCAATTCCTGTGGTTTTCATGTGTTTTATGTCTATTAATTCCTTCACCGCCGTTCTTTGACCTTTTATAAACGTCCGTATTTCTTTTTGAAAATCATTCTCTATTTTGAGAATCGTTTCTAGTGTTTACTTTTAATTATTCTTAGAAATGCATGTGTTTAATTTCCTATTCTCTTGTAAATGTAGTACGTTTGGATTGTCTTGTTGAAGATTCATTTCAGGTGGGCCTTTTCCTTTCTTTACTCCTTCTCTTCCATAAAAAACCATGATGTTTTTGCCTTCGAAACGATTTATTTTTATTTATCTTTCTTTTATCGACACCTTTAAGAGCTGACTCTAAAATATTTGATTCATTTAAGCTAAACGCATGACATTCAGATAACAATATATCAGTCATATTAAATTAATATGTGACTGAAGTTCTTAATTTTAAAATGAAGTCTGTCTCAAAAGTAATGGTCTTTATTTTTCCCTCTTTCTACTATGTCATCCTGTTTTCCTGACAATAAATTTGTGATGATAGGTAAATTGTTTAAAGAGGAAAACACCAAAAGGTGGTTACCTAAAGTCAGTTTAGGGACTTCGTCTCAGGTCCAGTAACCCTCGTTGAGAACTTAGGTTACCATGGAAAGAATCTACTTAAAATTTTAACATCCTTTATAATTATTAGCAACGATGTAATTTAATACCAATTAAATAACATAGAATTTTAAATTTAAAGTTATCCCAGATTACACACTCTTATAGCTAATACATACAAAATATATGAGGATTAGTAACACCTGCAAATGCAGTAAATATGCACTGACTGGTTAGAAAACGTTGATAGGTGATAAAATAAAATATATTATGTAACTGTTAGGCGAAATAGTATGTTAATTTGATATAAATTATTAAGTTTAACAAATGTATTAATTATCTATTTTATTGTTGCAGGTAAGAAGTATTTCAAGTCCATAAACATAAACAAAGATTTTAAAAAGGTAAGATACCAACAAAGATGTCAAAACCATATTTTTTCTCTTTTGTTTTATATTGTTTGTAAATATATTGTCAAATGTTTGTATTACTTACTTAATTGGGATTTAATATAAATATATTGCTTATCATAATTTCATTTGATTTCTGAGCTTTTTTCCTTCAAGCTCGCAGTCGTCTTTCTTTTGGAACTCACATAAGAACGATTATCCAAATTTTTTAGTGCATGGCTGTCTTTAGTACAGCCAAATGTTTCATGGCATACTAGCACACAATTTTCTTTAAATTAGTTAAAGAAAAGAAGCTGAAGACAGAAGCCTATAATGTCCTCGTAGCATGTCCTGTCAAGACTTCCTGGTCCCCATACACAGCAAAGATCCAGGACCATCTTCTAATCGCAGTACTCTTCCAACTTTAAGCTACTGATTTTTCAACTCGTCTAAGCAACCGAATTTCTTATTGAATATGGACGAGATTCCTTTAGTCATTTGGAGCTCTTGGGCAACACAGTGGGTTAGAGAGACATTTTCCGGAACACAAAAAAGATTCTGTTGAACTTCTTGGTTACGCCGGATCTAGCACCCTTTATGTCTTCGTAATTTAACATAAATTCCTTGAAACTTAGTAGCCGGTCATATTTGACCTCATGTTGAAGAGTTTGTGGTTCTTGTGTTTCATTTGAGCCAGCATAAGTATGCTGTATGCCAGTATTTCCTTTGTCGTTGTAGTTTATTAGAAAAGCCTCGACGATGTTGTGGATTATAAAGCCAAACAAGATCACTTACTTCAAAGCTTTCATTTGTGCATAGAGAATTATATTGATTCTTCATTCTATCACTGGCTAACTGGATCTGGCTTTTTCTGCTGACTAAAACTGGAATGTCTCTGGGTCATCTCCATTCATGTTGAAGACATCCTTTAGTCGTTCTTGAAAGATCTTCATCAGTCTTCATCACGTTGTTCTTTATGCTCATGCAACTGTTTAACTGAAAGTCTACTATCAGCATCTTTGAGTGATTTAAATCTTGTAGATTTGCTTAAGATCTATTTGAGCACGTCCTTACGGAGCAGGCAGGATTCTACAGATGTAGAATATGTCATACAAAATATAGACAACCAACTTTTTAAATATAAAGGCTAAGCAATAATTTAACACTCTTGTGTACTATCTACTTTTGAACTTTACGCTTTTTATATTATTCTTCTGAGATCATTTTGCAATGTAATGTGGGATAGTTCTACGAAATAAGATTTGCTAAACAGCTATCGTTTAAATTTTCGACCGCTTTGCATATGATATAAAAAACAATTTGGTTTTATATGCAAGTAAATGAAATGGTAGTGCCGTACATTATGCGCATATATTTGTCAGTAATTATTCATTTATTCGTCGAACAGGTGCGTGATAATTTTGTCCTCCACATAATAGTGCAATCTGCATTTTAACTACGGTGCGCTCGTAAGAAATAGCGTAATCGTTAAGTCTAAATTCATAAAACCACAATTACCTAAACTTATGCAAACAAAAAATAAACACCAATAAGGAGCTCCGAGATCGTATTTCCAATAGCCGTTTATTAGTCTATTACATAGTTACATACTTACACTGTGGGTAGTTCTAATTGCGTCAGGAAAGGAATAATAGCACAATTAGCAACAAGGCACACCTGATTTTTAAGGTAATTTGACTATTTAAGTCAGGATAAATCTCTCAAAGTTGTTTTATGTCGTATTTCGAATTTAACTAAATTTGAAGGTTATGTGAGGTTAGGGCTTCCAAAATCCTTTATTAATATTCGTTAACTTTAAATTCGTTTTAAAGTTGAGGTTAAATACTAAGTTTTCTTCATAGACATATAGTACAATTAGACTGAAGACTGCAATACAGTCTCGTTCCCCCAGTGCGACAGAAAAAAGTGAGTCAAAGCATTCCCTGCATCTCTTTCTAATGGGCCAGATATATCGACCACGTGATCTTCCCATTGGTCATTTATGTCAGTTTATTTACATCATATGTGTATGGTTTTCTTACTCTGATGACCTACTTTTTTATAGGTTTCAAATGCTCGCTAGGGCTTTCTTAAAATTTGTCTGCTGGATTAAACTTTCCAATTGGTAAAGCTCGTTGTCTGGTTATCACTTATATTGGAGAGAATTTATTGACTTTATTTATTTATTAAACTCAACAGGCCTTGAAGGCCTAGGACTGAAAGATTTAATTTTTCCTCACAATTACTATTACGTATTATATATAATGCTATATCCTATACTACTATAATATATACAATATTACATTTGTTTAAATAAAACACTTAATATTTCTTATAGTCTTCCCATATATTTCTTCATCACTTCCTTCCATTGTTTTCTGTCCAAAGCTTTTTCTTTCCAGTTTACAATATTACTTTTTTTAACTCTTCTTATACGCTGTCTTTCCATCTCCTTCTTGGCCTTCCTATTCCTCATTTTTGTATTGGTTTA